CATTAATAATTTCTTTTATCACAATTTTAGCCAAACTCATCAATTTAATTCAGTTTCCTCGAGAGATCAGATTTTGGCCCATCTATTCACCCCAAATAGACAAATCAGCAACCCTTTTGTTTGCCTCAATTTCTTGCATCTTTAGCTAGCCCATTTTCCAACTTCCATCAACTCTATTTAATTATTGGTAAAAGGGCCTGATATACCCTTTAACTTTGTCATTTAGAGCTGATATACTCCTCGTTATAAAAGTGGCTCATATATACCCCTACTTGTAAATAAATAACCCACATATACCCTTTTCCTCTAACGGGAATGAAAAAATAATAATTTTAATCTAAAATAAATGGCCCACATCAACTCGATTTAATTATTTTTCGACGCAGACCATTCCACCTCGACTCAACCCAATTATGTATTCGTAAAGAAGAACCCAGCGCGTGCAATTTCTAGAAACCCAATAGGTTGAATGACAAAAAAAGTTTCCGGTTGCAACATTCACAGACTAAGAAAGAAATACATGACGTCTCTCCGTTCACTCGATACGACAATCCAAGCAGCAAGAAAACGACGTCCTCAACAGTGATTTGAAATAACGTCATCACGGAGTCGAACACGACGTCAAGTAGATAGAAAGTAGTACTCTACGTCTCTGTTGTCGTCTTCTTCATATGTCCCTTTCAATCATGAGACAACGATGAAGGCATGCGGAAGCACCCTTATAGTGTGGGATGGCTCCACATCGTTGCTCAAGGACGAGGGTGTCAATCCCTGCCATCTATCTTGTAATTTTCTCTTCCAGAATGGTTTGGAACTTCAGAAAAAGGGTGTTTCAATTTAATTGTAAAAGAATTGGGAGTTTGAATTTCGATTTGGTATTGGATTTCATCCATTTCCCTTATTTGAACCCTAATTTCCCTTCTATATATAGTTGCTTATTATTCACGGTTGAAACGGGGAGAAAAAATATTGAGATGAATTAGCTGGAATTTGAGAGGAAATACGATAAAATACTAGCTTAAATGTTTACATACAAATATTTAGGAATAGGTTATAGAAGTTGAGAGAGTGAGTTCGGCGTTGATTGAGTCTTCTGCTAGAGTTCTAGTGTTGATCGAATCTTATGCTCATTTCACATGAGTTCACTAGAGTCGTCGATTGTAGTGGTTGAAGCTCGTTCTGTCTAGGTTGCTGTCCCAAAAAAAGGTGACTCTTCTTCCCCCATACTATTCTTTTGTCTTCTTTGTTTTTTCTCATGGTGTGTCCTAGTGCAATATGGTCAACATTTCGTTGTGGTGTTACTGTTAGTTATTATCAAATATTGGTGGCATTTATGCTCGTAAATGATTGCCATGAGTTAATTTCAGTATCGAATTAAGTCTTTTGCCGTCTTGTATCTAGTGTTGATGCTTTTCTCTTCCACTTTTGTTTTGTTATTTGAATGTTGTTAAACCTTTATTATCATGTTTATTATAATGTTAAACATTAGGGGTACTGCATTTAGTTTGTTTTGTCTGATGTCGTTACTCATGCAAGCCTAAGAATTTTGAGTTAATTGACATGCTAAGGATGTATGTGATGCTAGCAGCTTTGTATTATTTGTATCTTTATGATCTCATTGTCTCTTTTCTCATGTCATTGTATCTAGGTATTCTGATATGCTTGTTGTTTAGTGTTTAACTTTTTGTATGTGTTTATCATGTTTGTCTTGTGTTGTTAGTAGTATTCAGTTAGCTCTGGATTAGAATTTATGCTTGGTGTAATATAATTTTTCCTTCTTGCTATTCATTTCACGCGAAAAATGCTTGCATTTGAAGTTTTGAGTCGGTATAAGAGTCTGAGTTTCTTATTTTATTTTCTCACTCTAGTTTTGCTGGAGTTTAGTCTTTAGAACCGTTTGAACATGATCTTTATTGATATTATCCTCTCATCTGTATCAACCCCTGTATCCCGTGTGACCTTCATTGGCTTGATTAGCATCATATTTATAGCTTTTGTTTCAGAAATAAAGAACAAGCGCTTTCTTTTCTTTGGTTCATAAGTTTCTTTCAGACAAATAAATGACTTTCTTTACTGTTAAAATATGTCTTAGCATGCTCTCTTTACATTCCGAGTTATTTATTGAATGCTAATCAGTTGTTTATTACGAATGTTCTGCTCCTATGTTGCCCCTATATAATTCTTTTGTGGACTTTATTTTTCGAGCATATTCATGTATGTGTTTGTATTTTCTAAAATTATTTCCTTCCAACAGGTTAGTGTCAAATCTTGTTTATCATCCTCGTGTCAATCACCTTTTTACATAGTTATCTTCTTACTATTAATATTTTAAGTTATTTTGTGCTTGATTAATTCTTGTCATTTGTTAAGCTAGTTCAAATTGTCTTTCTTAAAATAATCTGTTACTTTGGTCTAATAGTTAGTTTTGTTACCCTTTCCATTTTGAATTGCTTAAAGTTATATCTTAATCGTTTTTCTTACCTCAATTATTAATTTTGTTTTCTTTTGTTTGTTGTATGATTTACTTCCCCAGTCCATGATGGGCTTATCTTCCTTGCATCTCCGAGTCGAGCCATATTACTTTATTGCTCAAGTCAACTATCAGAAAATTTAAATACATGCTTTCTGAGGTTAAACAAAGCTAGAATTTGAATTTTGAAGCTCCGAAATGTCCAAAAAAGGGGCTGTATACACTAATTGACTTGACGTATACAGTGATATACAACTTCTTCATTGCTCAAAGTGCTCTATGCTCAAGTTCAACAGGTAAGTGACATGCTTTTCCAAACACCATTTGTTATGGAGACATGTCAATAGCTGTTTTAAAATCTATCTGATATCCCCATAATTTATCATCTAACTTTCTTGCCAATCTGTCTGGTTACATTTACTATTTTGCAAAAATTATCTTGATTCCTCTGTCAGACACTTCCACTTGGACGCTGGTTTGTGGGTGATATGATATAGCTACCTTATGTTGTTTCACGCCATACTTTGTCAAAAATGCACTGAACACTTTGTTTCAAAGATAGAACCACCATTACTAATAATAGCTCTAGGCGTTCCGAATCTTGCAAAAATGTTCTTTTTTAAGAACGCTGCAACACTCTTTCCATCATTCTCAGGTAATGCTACATCTTCCACCCATGTGGATAAATAGTCCAGTGTTACCAGAATATATTTGTGTACATATGAACTTACAAAGGGACCCATGAGATCAATTCCCCACACATCAAGCAACACTACCTCCAAATTGAGTGTCATCGACAACTCATGATGCCTTGATATAGCTCCTTGCCTTTGGCATATATCACAACTTCATACCAACTCAGCTTCATCCTAGTTAATAGTTGGCCAATAAAACGAACATTGATATATCTTATGCGCTGCTCGAGCTCCACCATGATGCCCACCTACTGGAGAGGAATGACAGGCTTCCAGAATAGATAACATTTCAGCTTCTGGAACACACCTCCTAGTATGTTATCAACACATACTCTATACAGATAAGGCTCATCCCAAAAATACTTACCAACATCATGTAAGAACTTTTTCTTTTGCTGATATGCCATCCCCTCATGTATCAAGTCGCTAAATAAGAAATTATAAAAATCAACAAACTAGGGAATGAGATCAAGAGTAGCAGCCAATACCTGTTCATCTGGGAATACATCATCTATTTCGAGCTCATTGTGTTCTTTATTTGCAGCTTCCGATCTGGAAAGGTCATTTGCTACCTGGGTTTCACAACCTTTTCTATCTTTTCTATCCTTTACTTCAAAATCGAATTCTTAAAGTAGTAACACCAATCCGATTAATCTTGGGTTGGATTCTTCTTGGCCATCAGATACCTCATATCAACATGATATGTGTCTACTATTACTTTGGTGCCCAGCAAATATGCTCTGAATTTCTTAAATGCATACACTATAGCCAACAATTCTTGCTCAGTGACAGTGTAATTTTGTTGTGCTCCATTTAAGAACTTATTTGTATAGTAAATTGGATGGAATATCATATTGAGCTTTTGACCCAACGCAACATCGAATGTAGTTCCACTAGCATCGCACATCACTTCAAATGATTCTTCTCGGTTCAGACCAATGATTATAAGTGTTGATACTAGTTTCTCTTTTAGGCTTTCAGGCAGCTGTCATCAAAGATGAATGTCACCTCCTTCTCCAAGAGCTTACATATGGTGCAAATTTGGATATGTCCTTAATGAAATGCCTATAGAATCCGGCATGTCCCAAGAAACTCCGAACACCTTTCACACAAAGAGGAGGAGGCAATTTTTCAATCACCTCAATCTTTGCCTTGTCAACTTTGATTCCTTTTTGCAACGCTTTATATCCAAGACTATGCCCTCTTTAACCATAAAGTGGCATTTCTCCCAGTTTAGCACCAAGTTGGCTTCCTCACATCTTTATAGTGCCTGCTAAGTTTTAACAAACAATCATCAAACATATCATCTACTATAGAGAAGTCATCCATAAATACTTCAAGAGTGTCCGCAATCATGTCTGAAAAAATTGACATCATACACCATTAAAATGCGTCGGTGCATTACACAATCCAAACGACATGCATTTAAATGCAAAAGTGTCATAAGGAAATGAAAATGTAGTCTTTTCTGATCTTCAGGAGCAATGGATATTTGATTGTAAACAGAGTATCCATCTAAGAAACAATATCAACCTTTACCTGCTAACCTGCCCAACAAATGATCAATGAATGGTATAAATAAATATTCCCTTAAAGTCTATTTGTTCATCTTTCTGTAGTCCACGCATACTCTCCACCCAGTCACTGGTCTTTGTGGAACTAATTCATTCTTTGCATTCGCCACCACATTCAAGCCCCTTTTTTGGGCACACATTGAACTTGACTGACCTAGTGACTAGAAAAGACTGGGTAAACCACCATAGAATCTAACCATTTGATTATTTCCTTTTTCACCACCTCTTTTATTTGAGGGTTCAACCTCCTTAGGTTATCAATGCTAGGTATACAATCTTTCTCAATATGAATTTTGTGTGTGCAAATGCCTGGAGGTCTTCAAATTATATCGGCAATAGTCCATCCAATGGATTTTTTAAACTGTTGAAGCACTCTAACCACGTTTTATACTTGTCCTTAATTTAAATCTGCAGCCAAGATCACAAGTAAAGTGTTGTTAGTACCCAAAAATACATGCATGAGGTCACTTGGCAACTGTTTCAGCTCCAAAACTGGTGGTTCCTTAGTGGAGGGTTTATCTGGAGCATTTGGTCTGTTTTTCAAATCCAAGTCTAATTTCTTAGGAGCATAAGAATATGCTCCCATACCCTGTATAGAATTTATAGTTTTTCCATAATCAGATCGGAAATCCACATTAAAGCTCATCGGCACAACGACTAATGTTTTAACAACTATCCTTTATTCTATAGGTACCTTAAAATCATCATCAACAACAACTTCAATTTCAGATACCAATTCCATCTCTCGTGGTTTTTTCATTAATCTGCATATTTTAAGCTTGACCTCCTCTGAATTAAGTTAAACTTCAAATCACCTCGTTCAACATTAACCAAAGCTCTTCCTATAGCCAGAAATGGTATTTCCAGAATTATACGAAATTTAGAGTCTACTTCCTAATCCAAAACAACAAAATCGATGGGAAGATAAATGTATCCACATGTACCAACACATCAAACAAGATTCCCACTGGTCTCTTGACTACCCTGTCAGCCATCATCAATCTAATGTTGTAGGTTTTGGTATTCCCAAACCTAACTTTTCATAAATGGCTAATGGCATTAGATTAATGTTAGCCCCTAGATCACACAAAGCTTTTGCAAAATTGATTAACCCAATGGTGCATAGGATTGTAAAAACACCGGGATCATCTTTTTTTTAAACCACATTTCTGGTCGCAATAGCACTGCAATGATGCACATCATTAGAAAAATCAAGACTTACAACTCTTTTCTTGGTAACCAAGTCTTTCATAAACATGGTATATCCTGGCATTTGTTCAAGAGATTTTACCAGCGGAATATTTGCTGAAAGTTGCTTCATCATGGTGATGAACTTTGTAAACTTTCCATCTTCAGCTTTCTTTTAGAGTCTTTACAAAAATTAGGAGGAGATCTAGGAGTATGTTGTAAAAGCAATTTTTCCTGGATCTATTTTTCTTTTCCTCCAAAAGAGTTGCTCTGTGATGATTTCCTCCAAGTCATCGACAGGTGCACTTTTGTCATCGTTTGTTCCAGATTGCTCTTGAACCTTTTCATTCTTGGTACCTGCAGAATTTTTGTTAGATAACACTTTACCACTCTTGGAAGTGATGTCCATGTAGTGTCCGTCCTTTATGGGATTTTGAATACTGATAGTGAAACATTCTTTCTATGATTTAGAGATGTTGAGAGTTGTCCCAACTTTTGCTCTATTTGCTTAATAGAGGTGGTGTGATAGTATTCCAATGACTCATGCTTGAAAACTCACAAAAAAATTCTTTAACTCCTACATATGTTGATTCAACCTTTTGAAGCATCTTGTCCATCATGTCTTCCAGCTTAGATCCACGGGAATTACCATTCGTTCTTTCTCTGCTACCTGGGGCATATACACACCACTACGATCATTTCTGTGCCCATCTCTATTTTGCCAGTTTCCTTGATCTCTGTTTGGTGGTCATTCATACTAAAAATCTCTGGTGTAGTTCTGACCTACATTTCCAAAATAATACCCCTGTTGTCCAGAGTTATATTTCCGGAAACCTTCTTGGTTTCCCAAGTAGTTAGCTTCCTCATCAATGTCAATGTCTTGATCTTCACACCTGCTTTGTTGTCCACAACATTAATTTTTACATACTTGGAAACAATATACTTTGTCAGTAAATCAATTTGGGTTCTCTGATGCTCCATGTACTAATCCTTTTCGTCTTCCCACTTACTCTATTCAGTTGACATCTCATATGCATACCCTAGTTCCCCAGCTTCTGCATCTCTAGTCAACCATGTCCTATTATTTTTGGAAACTTCATCCAACAATTGCATGTTGTCTGGAAATACTTTACTAGTAAAAGAACCTCCACGGACTACATCAACAACAGGTTTAGTCACATAATAAAGAGACCTATAAAAAGCTTGTTTAAGACGTCTCTCACTAAGATCATGGTTGGGACATTTCTTCAATTTTTTGTTGAAACTCCAACAAGTGTCATGCATCCCTTCTCGTGGTAACTGCTCATGTGTACTTATCTCATCTTTTATTTGCATTTTCTTTTAAAATTCTGGGAAGAATCGTTCTAGGAAAGCTTTTTTGATTCACTCCAAGTTCGAATAGAGTCATATGGGATCTCATTCAACCAATTAGTTGTTTCCCCAGTATGACATAAGGGAATTAGCCTTAGCCTGATTGCAATTTGACCCACTCCAGATTTCTCTTAAGATTTGCATATTTCCACAAAATTCATCAAATGTTGGTTCGTATCATCACCAGTTGCCCCTCTAAAAATTCCTTTGAGATTTAGCAATTGTATCATTGTACTGATGATCGAGAATTTCACCCCTGGAGGTAGTGCAGGTAACACTATTACTCTAGTGGATCTAAATCCATCCAAATTAGCATTATCCTCTTTGTACATCATGTGAGCTGGGTGCTGGACTCTACCTCTTTGGGCTACAGGTGGCCGATGGGGTGGTATCACATCACCTCTGTTTTCATCTAATCCACTAGGTGGAACAACAATCATTTTAAAGAATATGTGTTAAATTATGAAC